TTCACACCCACAGCCACACCCACCCACAGCCACATCCCACACTCACAGACCCACACCCACATCCAATAATAGGACTTGAGGACCCAAGGGTATCTCTAATAGTGGAGCCGTTACTCCGTTCCTCGGTAACGGTAACTTCCCACCCCTAGTCAGACCCCAGTCAAATCTAGTCAAACCCAAATCCAAATCCAGTCAAATTCAGTCAAATCCAAATCCAAATTCAAGTCAAATCCAGTCAAACCCAAATCCAAATCCAGTCAAACCCAAATCCAATTCTTTGTTTGGATTTGATGGATTTGACTGGATTTGGATTTGGTGCATGCCTATAGATAAGCACTGGTATGAAATTATATCTAATACCATTGCCACTTCCTTCAGTCGACAGAAGGGGAAGCAGAATAAAAAATACATGGAAAAAAAGAAAAAATACTAAAAAGGCTGCTCGGAGAGTGTACATCGTCTTGATTTCTACTCCACTTTGTACTGTTCTTTCTTTTCTGTCCAATCAAATTTAATATTGACGTTTAGGTTTCACTTTTCGATCGAAACTAAATCCCAAAAAGCATCATCAAGGAGAAAGAGAGACAGAGAACGATAAAGAAAACGCTGAAAAATGAGAGTAAAGATGGTATAAACCAACGTTTTGGCTTTCATCATCACTTACTTTCCTCTTAAATAAGGAGAAGACGAAATAGCGTACATATCGAGTTTCTCTTCAAACTGACAGAGATTCTATACAGGTGAGTTTCGATGAATTTTATCATTAGAAGCATTACGAAGAAATACCGTATTCGTATATGAAATATTCGACACGCTTTTAGCTGATCGAGCATGTCTGAACCGTGTTCAAAAATTGATAACGAACGAATCAAATTCGATATTGTCAGTGAGGATGGTTGCAACGAAGTCAATCTTAACCGTTTATATCCTTCGTTTATGTATTCACAAATTTTGAAAGATATCCTACTCCAATTCGATGATAGATTCCAAGCAAAACAGGAGCTGGTCAATTTTTACCGTCATAAATACGCTGGTCGTTCACCAGATCTGAAGTTGATCGACCAATTCGAGGGTACATATGAAGCCAATACATCGATCCAATGGTAAAAAACTAAGTGAACTTATGAACCATTTGAGAATACGTTTTTGTTTGTTATAGGTACACTCGAGAAAATTTTGTCTACAGCGTCTTGAATGAAGCCCTTCGACTGAACGATATTCAAACCCTGTACACAACCAGACTTCTCCTTGGGGATATTCATCGACAATTAGAAGAGATGCATAGGAAGATGTTACCCGCTAACATTCCGAAAAAACTTTTTCGTGGTCAAGGGTAATTTGATCGATCAAATTTAATCGACTATTTATTGATCTTTTTCAGAGTATCAATTCAAGAATATGAAAAATTGAAAAATAATATTGGCGGTCTCATTTCATTTAACAATTTCTTGTCAACAAGCGTCTGTGAAGATCTCCCAAAAGTACTTGCTGATTGTACTAATACCGACACAACTGGTATTCTTTTTGAAATTGAAATTGATTCTTCTGTTCGATCGAGTCCATTCGCTTCACTCGACGATGTCCATCACTTAGGGGTGGCAGAAAGGGAGTTTCTTTTTTCAATGCATACTGTTTTTCGGATTCTTGATATTGTTGACAATGCACAATTGCCACTCGTTCGTTTAAAACTTACAGCGGACGACGATCCTCAACTTCGACAACTTAAGGAATACATACATAAAAACACTCAAGAAGGGACAGCTCAACAACGGCTGATCGTGTTGATGTATCAGATGGGGAAGTATGATTTAGCGAAAGAATTTCTGGAAAAACTACTCGCACAAGCTTGTAAAGATACTAAAATAATTGAAGTTGGGTTTATTGTTCATCACTTGGGTCAAATAATTGCCGATATGGGATACTATGGTCAATCTATTGTTCATTATCAACAAGCAAACGATATTTTGAGAAGGTATCTGCCAAAAAATCATCCAGTGCAGATCAAAATCATCTGCAATCTTGCTACCACTTATCTGCAACAAGGCAATTATGATGAAGCACTCCAGATGTATAAAATTGCTTCTGAGTTACTTCTTCAATCTGAGAATCGTTCGGATGAAGATCTGTTTGGCATTTATGTGCACATTGGCAGCATTCAACGTGAGCAAGGGCGATTAGAAGAAGCACTCCAAAGTTTTCAAAATGCCGATAAAGTAGGGCGTCGAAGTCTACCATCGAATCATCCTCGTCTTGCCGCTCTCTACAATAACATGTGTCTCGTCTATTATGATCAAGACAACTTGTCTGAGGCCTTAGCATACATCAATCGGTGTACTGAAATCCAAAACAACAGTCTTCCTGATCTTCATGGGGATCGTGCGTTACCTGAAGTCAGCAAAGGACTTATATATTCGAAGCAAGGTGAAACCGAAAAAGCAATATGCCAGTTTGAAAAAGCTATCGACATTCAAATGAAATGCTTGCGTCCCGACCATCCTGATATGGCAACCGCTTATAGCAATCTTGCTACGTGCTATCGTCATCAGAATAATAAAGACAAAGCAATTAAATATCACAAGAAATGCCTTGATATTCAACTCGAAAACTTTATACCAAATCACCCTAGTATTGCAATTACATATAACAATCTGGGTGAAACACAATCCGAACAAAACCCTGATGAAGCTCTCTCTTGTTTTGAAAAAGCATTGTCTATCCAATCAAACAGTCTCCCTTCGGATCATCTGGATGTTGCTTTAGTCTACAGCAACATGGGTCTTACTTACTCCATAAAAAGAGACTATGCACAAGCCGAGACATGTCTTGAAAAAAGTCTGAATATTCGACGTAAGTTATTAACAGATGATAATCCATTGATAGCTGCGTCTTACTACCACATGATCGAGAGTCTCTACTGTACTGGTCAACGCGAAAAAGCATTAGAATATGCTGGAAAAGCTGTTCAAATTTGCGATCGCTCTCTTCCATCCACCGATCCACTACGCCGTAATTGTGAAGAGATATTCATGAATTTAAAACGGAACACTGTATCTACTTAAAAGTTTTCTAATTCGAGGATTGATCTCAAATGACTTGAACAATAAAATCTACATACTAGTGTGGGTGTGGCTGTGAGTGTAAGTGTAAGTGTGGGTGTGGGGTGTGAATGAGGGTGTGAGTGTGCGTGGGGTGTGGATAAGGGTGTGAGTGTGGGTGTGGAGTGTGAGTGTGGGTGTGGGTGTGGGGTGTGGATGAGGGTGTGAATGTGGGTGTGACTGTGGGTGTAAGTGTAAGTGTGGGTGTGGAGTGTGGATGAGGCTGTGAGTGTGGGTGTGGCTGTGGGTGTGGGTGTGAGTGTGGGTGGCAGTTCTCTATCAATACACTTACGCCAACACCCCACACCCACGCCCTGGTAGTTCTACTTCATATTTAACGATAACTAGTTTCATTTTTAAACAAAAAATTAATTATTACATTTGTGGTGATAATCAATGATTTTTTCTTTTGAAATTTTTCGTCTCTTTGTTGGGAGAAGAAGTTTACAGGTTTAGGTAAAACAATAGAAATAAGGATGTTTGAAGCGTATGAAAATTAGATAATTCGTTTATTCGATTTACTTTTTCGGTCTTTCGTGAATATAATGAGAATGAGTTTCGATGTTCGAATGATTGGTGTATTTCGCAAGAATAGTTCGAAAACAACATTCAACAGAATTCGAAGATTTGCAGCAAGGGTGTAGGTGTGGATGTAGGTGGGCGAGGGTATGGGTGTGGGTGTGGATCTGCTATTATTCATCACCTACACCCACACCCCACAATCAAATTGATTAAAAAAAACACAACATATCATTGATACTTTTCAACCAGATGTAAGATCGAACAGTTTTCAATGGTTACATTCGGATATTTAGCCAAGTACTTGATGATCTACTGCCATTTGCGTCAAAACTTAATCCAAGACTATAGGCTCATCAACAACATGAGTTAATTGAAAATGAAATTGATAATTTCTATCGAACTCAACAGATTCTTAATACAAACAAATATTCAGAACATGTCACAGACTATATTGAATTGAATCAGTTTTTTTTTGTACCCTGTACTCTCACTGAGAAAAATTTTCTAAAAGTTAGCCCGAATATTGTCTATAACTTATTTATTCGATAAAAAAATAAGAAAGTTTTTGTCAATGATATTTAATCCAACATATTTATATTAGCTACCGATGGATGTCTAAAATTTTTTCAACTATCATTTCTTAACTAGTTCAATGAAACTCTTATCTTATTAATTGTTTTCGTGCAAGCATCATCAACTCATATAATGATAAGATTTTTGTTTTCAATTGAAGCAGTGGATCTTACCAATATATGGCTAGAAATATATTTTTTAATTAGTTTGGACTATCAATGGTTTTCTGCATATTGTGTTTATTTTAAAGATTTGTTCTCATTGAACATAACATGAATATTCTCTTTTTCTTAAAATTAATCAAAAAATTGGCAATGATATTATCAATGTATCTATTGAATAATGTGTTTTAAATTTTTAAATCAATACAAATGGTTATCGTGCATTATTACAATGTATAATTGTAAAAAGTGACAACTATTAAAGATATAATCGTTTAGATTTTATTTTATCTATTGAATATCTCAATTGCCTACAATTCAAAACACACGTGTCTTTCACCCTATTTTACCTTTTCGAGAATGATTATATTTGTTGATTTCTTTCAATCTTATACTCACACTTAAGATAGAAAACGTAAAAGCACGACATTTTTTTTTGTATTTTGTTGTTAAATATACTTGTGATTTTTTTTCCTATTAGTCATATGCATAAGTGATAAAAATCATGGAGAAATTTAATTTTCTTTTTGTTTTAGTCAATTATGTTCTTATGCTTGTGTGAGAAATAATTATTAGTAAGTTTAGGTCGTCGAATATTTATAGTGATCAACAACGCTACATATAATTTATTTAGTTCGTATTAGACACTCAAATGAGAAAGCATTAGGAAGTCATAAATAGATGTTGAATGTTGACAAAAAAAGGAGAACTAACTGATGTTTATTGTTGTGTTCTAACAACAGGTTATGTTATATATTGAATCTAAGATGAATAATTCAGAATAGCATCATTGTTTTGTAATTACAATGTAACAGAGTAACAATTTTTCATTTTTATAACTAATTGATCACAAAAAAAAATAAAAGGTACAATGTAAGTTTTGACTGTATTTGATATAAATCATAGTAGCTAATGAAAATTTTGGAGATATTTTAATTACATCTGTTCATTTTAATAAACATTAGATCGATATATATTTCAAAATGAAATGTTTAATGATGCATAATCATTACTAAATAATTTACTTTTTTTTCTATGTAAACTACAGACATTAAGATATTTATTGTGTATGATCATAGATAGTTATATACCCTGTGGGTTGTTCGACACATAAATTATGTTAAAAACAATCTATATAATATAAATGTAATAAAACAAAAAAAATGAGTAACGAAGAGATATCCTAACTCGAGACAAATTGGTTGATAAATAATGTAAATCTTAAATTTGTAAGTTTTGATAGAATCGTTTTTCTTAATGTAATAAATTTGATGAGTAAGATTTATAAATAAATGATGATTAATAAAAAGTGAGTAAGAGGGACACTTGCAGCATTTTTTTTTGTATTCTATATGACAAAGCAAAAAAAAAATTCTGTTTGATACTTTTTTTTCCAACATTTTATTTCTTCTTACTAAACAATGAGTCAATCAACTTGCATATCTAAAACAATATTTTTCCGACTTCTATGATGATTTACACTATACAAATACATTTGGTCAATAATACCTTATATTATTCATTTAAATATTTTTTAAAGTATGAATGCGCCTGAAATATAACGAGTAAGTGCAATAATTGAAACTATTACTTTTTCATACATCTCCATATAGTTAAATGTTTTCATCTTAGCGACAGTTAGTTTAAGTTCTAGGATTTTTTGGGTATATTAAAAACAATAAAATACATCTGAATGTATTTTAATATTCGTTTATCTAAATATATATTTGAGAATATGTATAAGTTTAAAAGTGAATATAATTGATTCAAATAGGTTTCGTGATTATATTTCAAGAGATCATGATATCACTATGTGAAAGATGAGAGTGTATGTTATATGTTATTTCTCGAGTTCTCTTGTTTAAATGTCTGTATATTTGTTCTCTTGTATATATTGCTATCAAAGTTCCATATAATGATCTCAATAAATTAAATAAACCAGAAAAAAATTTCACTCAAATATCTATTCATACTTTTGTGTTTTGGAATATTTTAATAGTCGATTATTTGTATATGAAGAGTATGTTGTAGCAATCGATTCTAGATTTCGTAGAATTAATGACTCAAGAAAAAAACACCGTGAATAGTTCCTCAGAAATTCATTAAAGCTTTTAGATAAAGGGTTTGTGTTTACAGAGGTCAGGATTAAACTTTAATGAATATTTAAATCCGTTTTTTTATTCGAACTTTTCGAAAATTATGTATATTGAAAATTTTGCACAACAATAATTAATTATTTGACATTTTCGAGTGACTTAATTAGAAATTTATTGTCTCTTTAAGAAATTTTCTCCCATGTCTCTTCTTTTGTTTTATAATATAATAGATTATGTTATATAGTTTGATAATAAAAATTTTCAAATCTTTTATATTTATTCCAGAAATTTTGATTGAATAATTTTTTGAAAATGAAAGAAAGAGAACAATCAAGAGAATTCAATTTATATGGTTCAAGTGCCGATAGATTCGATAGAAACATGGTCGATGAATATGATGAATCGTTTGAACTAGATCGTACTCAGAGTCAAATGAGGTAAATTTTATTTTTACAAATAATTCTATGTAATATTCATTCTTTTATTTATTTCAAAGGTATCCTGGTTTATGATTAGATTGCCAACAGCTATTATCAAATATGCTAGTAAAAACCTATCAATTGTTTCTTACACGATATATAGTTTTTATTTTAGAAGGCTCAAGAATTGCTTATATTGTGTGCATTATATAGTTGGAATAGTCATTGTGGAAATTATGAGGTAACCATCAGAAGAAGTCCCACTATCGAGTAAAAAGTGTACAAACTTCAAAACTTTTGCCTGATATTTTGACTACAAATAGAGCTCGATAGTGTATATTGGGTACTTCAATTCGCTGTAATCTTTAGGTGTCAGGAAAGTCATCATTGTAAATGCAGACTCTAACATCATGAGATTTATTTTCTATGTTGAGATTAGTCTTTGCGATTTGTAGTCAAATTATGAAACTAAAGAATTAAATTTCAGGTACTTTTTACGACTATTGTATATGGTTTTGAAAAAATAGAATTGAATATTGATAATAGACTAAATTAGAAAAATGATTTTAAGTTAAATTATTATTTTCTTTAATTCTGATTGATTATTCTTTCTGTTTCTTTTGAAGAATCATCTGAATCGTTATCATCAAAGATGGATATGTAATTGTTGTAATAAACCCTCGACAAATTTAAATAGAATGAGACTTTCACTACAGTTGTCAGTACGTCGTTACCCTTATGTATCTACGAATACCAATGCTTTTTGTCAGACAATAAATCAAAACTATATATTGCAATGTCTAATTCAAGAATATTCATTATTAAAAATTAGTTGTAAACAAACAAATGTTTGTATTAAAAAAATAAAATCTGATCAAGATGAATTTGAAAAATTGCTTCAAGAAACCAAACAATTACTTGAAGATATACATTATATAAGTTATAATGGAGAACTTCTATGGAGAATTGAAGGTTTTACTCAGAAATTTGGTGAGTAATGATCTTCATATAGAAATTATTACTTGAGAATTTTTCAATTTTAGCTGAAGCTCAATCTGGAAAACAAACATCAATTGTATCACCATTATTATATTCATCACAAAGCGGTTATAAAATGCGTGCTTCTTTATTTTTAAATAGAAATGGTGATGCACAAGGTACACATATGTCTATGTATATCATTCTTTTCAAAGGAGAATATGATGCTATTCTTTCATGGCCATTTAATATTCCAATAATATTTTGTTTGTTTGATCAAACTGATCATATAATCACATTATCATTGATAAATTTTATCCTGATATAACATCAAGTAGTTTTCAAAGACCAATTTCCGAAAAGAATATTGCTAGTGGTATATCAAAATTTTGTCCATTGACAATTATTAATAAACAAATGAATAATTATGTTCAAAATGATGAAATATTTATTAAAATTACAGTCGATTCTCATGATACACCTAGACAACTTTTACCAGAGATATTAAAACTTAATCCTGGATTTTCGGAACACATGCAAGAAGATAAAAAACGCGCAAAATATGATCTATATAAACAAGTTCGAAAAGCACTTGATGCAGTAAAGAAACAAAGTGATCAAGAAGTATTACAATGTGGTTTAGTTCCTATGTATTCACCAATGTTGTCAAGTACTAGACATCAACAACTAACTTCTATGCTACACCATGTGAAGATATATCAGATGAATGAATACAATAGTAAAAAAATAAAGTGAAATAGACTTTCATTCCATCAATTGTTTTCGTATCGATTGCATGTTTTTTTTTGTCTTAAACTTTTTCTTTCACTTTCTTTCCGCATGTGTTTTATGGGATGAAAATAAAAAAAAAGAAATGCGCTGATGTCTTTTTTTTCCTTCAGTAAGTAAGAGAAGAATAGTAGCTAATAAAAAGAAAAACTTAAAGAATCAATATTAATAATTTTTAATCATCTGTTGAAACATAGAAAGGAAAAAATGGTCTTTCATAAACAAGTGCTTTTATGATAGATTAGATATGTATCAATCATTGATTTGATAGCAAAGATGGTTTTGAAAAATATTTGTTTTAATAATGGATAAAGTCACTACACGCATTTCAATTTATGATGATCGATTAGAAATAGGAACTATGGACTTTTTCGAGTATGAGAAAAATACGAATATCTCATATTCGAATACGGATTGAAGTAAGAATAATGAAGATTTGTGTGCGAATATGAATATCGATTGTTTAACAACGATGTACGATTATTAATATCTTGGTTATTATCTCGAGTTCTGGAGTTTTGTTCTAAAAATGCAAGTATTTTATTGATTTTCTGATCTCGTTGTACTTCATTTGCTTGTATCTCCTTAATTTAGCATTTTCATATAAATAATTGGGTGATGCTTCTTGACGACCTTTAAGCGAACGAAAGAAATTGTCATCACATTCATCGATGAAATCGAGCGTAAGCAAAAAGTGAGCATGAGCATGACAATTAATTGCGTATTTTTCTTTTGAAGAAGCCGATTCCCATTGACCAAAATTGATTGCAATAGCATCGACTGGCCATTTCACATCGTCTGAACTTTTCTTGTCACAGAGTTCTTTATGAAGAAGTCGACATGTATAGGAGGCATTGCACGTAAGCCACGACCAACGTTGCTCAATCGATGTCACCGATTTGGTTGATATTTTTACAGTAGGTAGGCCTAAGAGTCTTAGAAAGAAACTGAAAATTTCAGCTCAAACGGATCAGCCATTTTGGAGATATAGACAATGCAAGCATGAGGGGATAGGTCTCATTTGGAATACTGTATAGTGAAATATTTTTCAGTAAATCTCCATTTTCTCGAGAACAACAAGAGATATAACTGAGATTTTTTTACCATAAATACTATCAACGATGGGCTATATTTTTATGGTAATAAAAGTATCTCATCACTGTATGATTTTTGCTTGACATTATATACCATTTTCAGAAGCCATTCTCACGTAGATACGGCAAGTTGGTCGAATCAGTGCCCTAGAATAAATCGAGAGTAGTCTCATTTGAAAGAGTACATCAAAATGCATCGACTGACGTTTTCAAAAGTTTGTAGGATTGAACTTTGGTAGCAAAAATTTTTTGAACAAGACTGGAAAGGCCAAATTTGGGGTCCGACTCCCCCTATGAAGATTGACGATTTATTTTCAAATATTCGATTTAAGTGTTTCAAATGAAAGCGCATGTCGAGAAACCTCTAAATCCAAAATTTCAGTTCATTTGAACATGTCTGTGAAAAATGGTGAAAGAGTTACTTTTTAAAATTTTATAGGGTAATATATATAGTCCATCTAATTTTTCTAATAGTCGTATTTCAGTTAAAGTGCAACCAAAAGGTCTGAAATTTTCACCATAAACTATTCTTATCGAGTCCTTAATATACACAAAGTTTCAGGTCAAAATTCGAATTTTCATTTTTTTCGAATTATCCATAGGAAATTGCTGTGGTCCCCCTCAGGATCATGAAAAAAAAATGACAATTCAAATTTTTTACCTGAAACTTTGCATATATTAAGGACTCGATAAGAATAGTTTATAATGAAAATTTCAGATCTTTCGGTTGCACTTTAACTGGAATATGAATAGGAGAAAAATTAGACGGGCTACATATATTACCCTATAAAATTTTAAAAAGTAACTCTTTCACCATTTTTCACAGACATGTTCAAATGAACTGAAATTTTGGATTTAGAGGTTTCTCGGCATGGGCTTTCATTTGAAACACTTAAATCGAATATTTGAAAATAAACCGTCAATCTTGATAGGAAGGATCGGGGCCCAAATTCGGCCTTTTCAGTCTTGTTCAAAAAATTTTTGCTACCAAAGTTCAATCCCACAAACTTTTGAAAATGTCAGTCGATGCATTTTGATGTGCTCTTTCAAATGAGACTACTCTCGATTTATTCTAGGGCGCTGATTCGACTAACTTGCCGTATCTATGTGAGGATGTTTTCTGAAAATGGTATATAATGCCAGGCAAAAATCATCCAGCGATGAGATACTTTTATTATCATAAAAATATAGCCCATTGTCGATAGTATTAAATGCAGAATACCTGAAAAAGATATCAAAACCTGAGATAGTTTCATAATATAAAGCACAACTAAAGTCAATTTATGACAATTTGAAGATTGTCAAACAAAAATAATCTTATTCGATCTAAAGAGTTATCTTTATGAAATCGTTATAGAATAATCAAATTTGAAATATAGTTATTTGTCATTCAATGTTAATTTGTATAAAATGAATTATTATAGTTTAATTATAAGAAAATTAATTCAATTTTTTAGCTCACTAGTTGTTGAAATCACGTCATTAACCCTTTGAGGCTGGGATTATTTTTATACAGCAAAAGTTTGTGTAATTAGAAATTAACATTTATGTCATAAAATAATCAATAGATCGTATTTTTTAAAGTTATTCAGATCTCAAAATACGAGGACGTGAATTCGCGTCGCCCGGCCTCAAACGGTTAATCAATAACTATTGATAGAAAATGTTATTATTTGATTTAGATATTAGTCAAATAAATGTTGTTGATGTTCAATTATTTTTTCTTAATACGAAAGTACAGATCAACAAATCGAAAAATATTCCAGAGATTACATTCAACCATGATTTATTTTATCAGTTATCTTTTTTGTTAATTGTCTTATTCATTGTCACTGATGCGTAGTTGATCAAAAATAATCTTTGATTACATCATTTTTTGTTTCAAATCAAAAAAAAAACAAAAGAATTCGCATATTTATTCTTGTATCTGACATGTCAATTTAATATACATTATCATCTTATTCATGTAATATTATATCAACTGAAATAGATTTGTACTATTATTTTTTAGAGACTACCAAGCATATATTATTAACATATCAAATATAGTTAGACTGAGTAATTCAGTAACATTACATCAGGAAAAAAAACAAAGAAAAGAATTTTTTTTCACAGAGATAGCATTAAGTATTCTCTATTGAGTATGTAAATATCTTCGAACCCATTTAACATAATTTGGATCAATGAAATCAATTTTGTTGAAGATAATATTTAAAAAATTACTGTGACTTCTTTAGTACATTTTCAAGTACTGATGTTGAAAGAAATGTTGTGCGTATTATTTTATTCTATCTTTCTATATAAGATGAGAAAAATAAAGAATAAGTGAGTTTTACTAAGAATTATGTCATTTTAGTTAACAATTACGATAAGAATACTTTTTCGATTCAATTAATCGATTTTCAATTAAAAATTTTATTTTTATATAAACATCTTAGAAAAATCAAGTCTCACATGTTAGATTTAACAACATCTCAGCTAAATAGCATGACAAAAATTAAGTTAATAGCATTTGATTTTATTGAATTATGAGACTAATATTACAATAACATGATATTTCAGACATCGTCATAAATTGTTTTATTTTCATCTATTCTTTATATAAGGACTGTAACAAAAAAAAACATGTCAGGCGTCTTACAAGACGGTGCATTTATCTATTGTGTGATTTACACATGAGATATATCTTAGTTGTAAGTACTTGAATTTCACGTAGACATTAACATAACTTATAGTTCTATTGCAAGTTCATAAATGACAAGTCACAACAAGAAAGATGAGTATCCTTAAAATCAATGTGTGTACTTTTCATATAATATAGAATAATAATAAAAAATATCAACTCCTATATTTCTTTAGTAAACACTTACTGGAACATTTTTTTTTTTAATCAACTGATAGCAAATCTACTTTTCATTCGAATTGTGTATAACTTAATCATTTCATACTTTCATAAACAAATTGACAGGAAAAGAAAGAGAAAAATATACTCACAGAACAAATAGGTAACAGTTGTTTTATTGAGTCATCAGAGTGTAAGTATTAGTCTTCTTTTTGCATAATCACACGCTCAAGTAAAAACAAAAAAAAATCAATATTTTATTTTTTATCTTATTATTTTCATTTTGTATAATTTCTTATTATTCAATAAAACTATATGTATATGAACAGATCTATGTATTAATCATCATAATGAATTACAAATCGATTGTTTTTCGTGAATTTACACAAGAATCACTTCAACGTATTAAACACTATCGACAAGAAGAAGCTGAACAGATTGTTTCTAAACAATTACAACAACAAACAATATATGAAGATGATACTAATAAGAAGCTTCATTTAAATAAATTATCAAAAGATAAATCAATCGAATCTAATCGAACGCCTAATAAAGAATTGGCCGTTGGACAAACATTACCACGTGTTTTACAACATAGATTTCCATCTGAACTTATTGGAAAACCAATTGAAGAAATCGATTCATATTATCGTACTCAATATGTAATGTAGATTTTTTTTTTTGAAAAAAAAAACATATTTTAGTTTTTATTGTTGCTTTTTTTTTCTTGTTTTTACAATCATAGGTATTTGTAGTTGTTGATCGGAGTCATACAATATTTCGATTTAGTGCAACACGAGCTTGTTTTATATTTTCTCCATTTAATTGTTTTCGACGTTTAGCTATACGTATATTAACACATTCATTTTTTAATACAATCGTTATGCTTACAATTTTATCAAATTGTATATTTATGACATTGAGAAATGCACCAGAAGTGACTGAGTGAGTAGATAATAATTGTTTATTTTTCTTCTTATTAATATAATATTTATTTTTTTTTCTTTTTTGTCTATTTGAAATAAATAGATATATTTTTACAATAATTTATACATTTGAAGCATTAATAAAATTCATTGCAAGAGGATTTATTCTACAAAAATATACATTTTTACGTGATCCATGGAATTGGTTAGATTTTATTGTAATTACATTTGCGTATGTATATTCAAAAAAAAAACAAAATGAGAAATATATTTTATTTTAATTATTCCTTTTTTTTTTTTAGATATATAACATTTTTTATCAATTTGGGAAAAGTTGCAGTATTACGAACATTTCGTGTATTACGAGCATTAAAAACTGTTGCAGTTATACCTGGTAATATTTTATCTTTGCTTTTTTTTCTGTATTTGTAGATAATTAATTATTTTAGGTTTAAAAATAATTGTTAATGCTTTAATACAATCTTTTATTGCTCTACGAGATGTGGCTATTTTATCAAGTTTTATTCTTTCTATATTTGCTTTGGTTTGATATTTATCAAGCAAAAAAAAAAAAACATATTATTCTTTTAATTATAGATTGGATTACAACTTTACATGGGAGTTCTTCGACAAAAATGTGTACTAACATATGAATCATTTCTCAATAATTCCAAATTTTTCAGTATTAGATTTAATATGTCATATGAATCCTATTTAAAAGCATTGAATAATGAATGTATGTCAAGAAAAGATTTTCTATAAATTCAATAGTAGAAAGAAAAAAAAGAATTCCGAGATTATATGTAGTCAATAGTTGATAATTATTGATTACTTCAAGATATAAACATTGATTCAATAAGAATACATCATAAATGAAATAGATATTCACAAGCACAGTTGCCATTATTTTCATTCATGAGTAAATCTTTATCATCAATTATTTAAAACAAATTCGAATATAAATCATAAAAAGAGAAAGAAAATTTTCAGATAAGCATTATTTTGAATGTTCATTTTATAGTAATTGATTTTTTTTATATCACCATCGCATTGTGGAGATACTTTATATGTTTGTACACATAGTAATCGGAATATTTATAGAAGATTTTTTTCATACCTTACCTAGAATAACCGTTTAATCGAATGAGTAATCTGTTATCCATGATGTTCATCGAATGTCTGCAAAATAATAGAATGATTATTACTTAGATTTCAACTTTATAATATGGGCACTTTCTGCAGTCTAAAAATTGGAATATACGCCCCTGAAAATAGCTAAGAATAAGAAACTTGATTTTTTCAGAAGTGAATGACCGTCTTTAGGCCAACAAATCAAAACAAAAAATTCCAAAATTGTTTGAGTAGAACTCGACTTATGAGCATTTTTCTCTTCCAGATCACACGGTACAATGGTTGTACTCTTCATTCACATACATACACATTGAACATTATATATATATAGATTACGAATTCGAAATGAGTTCTAATCAAGTCTTCAGAAGTATTGTAGACTTAAATATTTAAGCAAAAGATCATTATTGTTAATCAGTAACATAGTAATTCGCATAATTCATTTGAAACTTTGAACATATTTTTACTATTTACAAACGAATATTGATTATCTTTCGTATTTTGAAGAAGTACTTCTGTAGTTTATTTTTCTAAAAACAAAAAGTAACAGTTTCTTCTACCATTAACCAAACTATATGAGTGGTTGAGCATGGTATTTACGGAACCGAGAATAACCGTAACTGAAAAGTTCGAACTCGACTCGGTGCATTCTTAGAGTAGGAACATACAATATGATTCTATATATATATACAAGAATTTCAAAGGAGTTGTGTCAAATTTCATTTTATTGATTAATAAATAATGGTCATTTGCTTAAATATTTACAGCTGTAATTCTTTTGAAATCTTTCATGATTAAGACAGAGGCTAGTAAAATTACTTACAAAATTCAATACCAAAGCTTGATAAAAAAAAAAAAGAAAAGAGAATTATGAAAGTAATATCTTCTAAATCTATTTATTTAATTGAGTTTAAACAAATAAGGTCAATGCTGTTCTACCTAAAACGAAAAATCTATCGAAAAAACCTTTCTCTTTATTATATTGAAAGATTATAGAGTAAGCGAATATATAAATATCTTTCATGGAGTTTCAACAATACAATTTTTCTATAATTCGGACAGATATATTACAACAATTAGATTAGAAGAAATATTTGAAATCTTTTATTTATCATCATTATCAATATTTGAAATCATCTTTATAATTTCTTTTTCAATTTTTATTTTTACAGCTACTTGGTATCAACAAGATGATCTTTATGTGCTTTGTGGTAATTCAAGTGGAAGTACAAAATGTCCTGAGAATTATATTTGTTGGAAAGATCGAGGCATAAGGTAAAGTTTGTTTTCATCATTTAACCAAATTTTATTGTTGTTCTTTTGTAGTCCTGATTTTGGATATACAAGGTAGGAATTTGATTTATTTTTGTTTTCATAATTTCAATTTTTCTTAATACAGTTTTGACAATTATGGTTGGGCTATGCTTGCATGTTTTCGTTTGATGACACAAGATTATTGGGAAAATCTTTATCAATTAGTAAAAAAAAAACAAATGACGATAAATTTTATAAATTATAATTATCGTTTGTTGTTGTTTTTTTTATAAATCTAGGTATTATCAGCAGCTGGTCGTTATCATTTTTTTTATTTTGTTGCTGTCATATTTTTTGGTTCATTTTATTTGATTAATTTAATCTTAGCTATTGTTTCAATGTCTTATTTGGAACAACAAAAACAAATTGAAGATGAAAATAAAGAATTTGAAAGACGTAAAATTGAAGATGAACTTGAAATACAAAATGAAAAAGAACAAAAAGCATTAAAAGTTCAATCACATTTACATATTGAAAATATTTCATATGATGACAATTTAGATCGTCAAATCTCCTATGATACTATTTTGATTGAATATATACAAAATGAAAACGTAAATAATTTAAAATAAAAGAGAAAATTTTTATTTGTTTTTCCAAAATTAACAAAAATATTTTCTTTTTTTTTAGACAAATAATTCAAAAAAAAATATGCAATCATCTCAAACAACATCATCAATTCATCAATTTAATAAGTCACATTTCAATTTATCGAATATATTAATAAATGATGATGCAGAAATAATGTTTATTGATGATACAAGACCAAATTCACCAAATGAAAGTCAAAATAATAAAAAAACAAGAAGTTATTCTCATATATTCGAACAAAATCAAAATTATCATGATTCAATTGTTACAGTAACAATAGAAATATATAGGATGACACCAACAGTAACACAACACAGACTTTTTTTCGATTTTTTTTCTTTGTACATAGTCAATTTGATCTCATATTTATACCATATAAAATAGGTGATACAAATTAAAGATATAGCATCCTAGATTAAACAAGCACGATCTTAAACAACTGTAAATCTTCATGCCGTATACGAAGGAAAAGTGGTTGTTTACGATCATTGTATATGGTCTCCATATTTCTCCTGACGCGGTCATGGCACATATAAGATCGTAATGTTGAATCGTGTAAATCATTAAAATACGATTCCTTATAATTGTATACGAGCTTCGTAATCGTCGTCCTGTATTATGGTCGAGTAATTTATTTAAAAGCGTACAAATATATCATAAATACTCTTATATCATTATGAGAGAAATTTCGTGTTTTTCAAGCTCTATTCGATCTTCATAATTATTTTTGTCTGCTAATTCTGATATGTGGAATGAATTCAATTTAATTAATTTTCACCTCTTTTTGAGATTAAATCAATACAAAATCTGGTTACATTAGATTCATTTTACAGGTCGGAATAAGCAAAGAAAAATATGAAAATCAAATAGAACTCGAAAAATATAAAATTTCTCTTATAGCCACATAACAGTAGTTTGAAGAAATTTCTCTAGAAAAACACTGATCAATCTGTTCCAGAAGTCAAGGCACTCGGATGTTTTTTGAATAACTTTTGATAGGAACAAGGTAGAGACCTGCGGTTTTCAGCATTTGATAGCCAAGACCCAAGAGCATATTTTCATAAGCAAAATCTTTTCTGAGAAAAAAATCCGAAGACCGATTTTTCAGAGGATCTTTGGAAAATCACACTAGGTTTCTGGAAACTACCATAGAAGTCTATTGATTTTTTTTACATATTCGGAATCAACATCGAAAACTGAATCGACTCATGTATGTATCGAATCTTTTCACGCACTTTTTTTACCCGAAAAATTCACCTCTAATCCTCAGAGATAGCTCAAAAAATGAAGTCAGCAAAAAAGTCAGTTGGACAGTGGAAAGCAAGTTCGGAGCTTGTAAAATGCTAGTAGAATACAACATGGCAAATGACTAAACAATAAAAACGGCGTTTTGACTTACTTCAATTTGTGACCTACTTCTGAGGGGCCTAGGAGTGAATTTTTTCCGAATATGTAAAAAAATCAATAGACTCCTATGGCAGATTTCAGAAAGCCAGCGTGGTTTTCCAGAGATCCTCCAAAAATCCGGTTTTCGGCTTATGAAAATATGCTCATGGGTCTTGGCTATCAAACGCTGAAAACCGCAGGTGTCTAACTCGTTCCTATCGAAAGTTATTCAAAAAAAAAAAACATCCGAGTGCCTTCACTTCTGGAACAGATAGTAGTATTACCTATGTATATGATATAAATAAGAGATCAAATTGACTATGTATGAAGAAAAAAGTCAAAAGAATTCTGTGTTGTGTTACTTTTGGACCATCCTGTACTTTTATCTTTTCTTTCATTTTTTTTTTGTTTCTAAAATTTATCTTAAAGCTTCATCAATCTAAATCTTCTCCAAGATGTTCTACAATTACTGAAGTATTACCTGCTCTTGAAATGGATAAAATGAATGTTCGAACAGAAAGTAAGTTCTATTGTAATTATCCCATGAAAACTTACATTTAATTAATTAAATCAATATGAAAGTTATACACATATGATTTCAATTGTTTATTATTTATGCATGTTTTTTTTATTGATCATCTAGAGCAGTGTACTGTATTAGTGCAAAATTAATTGTTAGAACGATGACGATTATAATAATACATTTCCTTTATATAATCCTTCAACTAAAAATGAATGAACTTGAATATGAATTAAAGTATTATTATAAAAGATATATATAAATATCATTATTTTAGATATAGATTCAACAAATACATGTAAACAAACAGTTATCAAAATTCTACAAATTTGTTGTTGCAAATGGATTTGTAACTTGTGGATATTTCAAAAATTTCGAGTACGTTTTCATTAAATTATATAAGATTTCAACTTAAAAAAAAACATTAAAAAATAACTATGAGATGTTTCATCAGTAGTATAGGATAAATATGTAAATAATGAATTTCACAACTTGAATATTGCTACTATAATAGAATAGTTTTTAAAATATTATAAAACATTAAATAATTGATTTGAATTTAGCATCATAAGAAGCTTGTTAATATGAGACATTTACGAGCGAAGTTCTTCAATGACACTGTGTGAAAAGTCCGATAATTTTTTCTACAACAATTATGAGTTGCAGTTCTGGATAGAAGATTGACTTGACTCAGAGTTTTTCAGCTCAGTTGTTTGAGCTTCCCATGCACATGAATTAATCACATATTAATCATAACAGTCGATGTGCGCCACAGCGTAGACAGTATACTGTCGTACGGGTAATCCAAGACAAACAGTTGTTAGTAACTTGGTCAAAGTCATTCTATGTCTGTTGGTGCGTAAGTTCGAAAACAGTACTTTAATAGTACGTGCCAAAGAATTTAACCACTCAGCCATACTGACTCAGATTAATGATAGTAGTTTATTGTGAGAGTTTCAGATCTTTTGGTAGTTCGTAGTTATAGGCGACGAAACGAGGTTTTTTTTTGTATTTTTTATTGTACAAAAAGGTACGATTTAATACCTTTTAGTAGACGTTTTGTCTTTCAAAATATTATAATTCATTTATTATTTCAAGATTCTGTACAAATGTGAACTGAAGAAAGAGAGAAAAATCTTCATGATGGAAAACGAAAGTCCGATGCTATCAATATGTTGAATTTGCTGACTATTCTTCTCTGCTCAATAATTCACATATAGCAATTAATCTAGATGTTTAAAAAAAAATATAGGCATACGGATGGATCATGTAACATCTAATTAAATGTATGCTTCAGAAAAACAAACAGAGATGACTATTACTCAAACAATTCTCGTCAACTAAATAGCTCCGTCGCTTATGTTCGTAGCTTAAGATATGGCAATGATAAAAATGTATCTATAACATTATTCATAGATACATCGATTAATTCAATATGCTTATCCTACATACTATCACACGTTCTAAAACTTTCAGAATAATGAGAACATAAAATTTCGGTAAAGAACAAATAATGTAAAAAATGCAATATTTCCATTTTAATAAGTTGTCTAGAATTTGAATTCTTTTAAGGATATTTATTACATATTTAAGAGGCATTGCACGTAAGCCACGACCAACGTTGCGCAATCGATGTCACCGATTTGGCTCATATTTTCACATTAGGTAGACCTAACATATTTAGGAAGAAACACAAAATTTCAGCTCAAATGGATAAGCCAGTCTGAAGATATAGGCAATACAAGTATGAGAGGGGGTAAGTCCCATTTGGAGTACCTTATAGTGCAATACTTTTCAGCAAAGTTTCATTTTCTAAACAACGACTAGAGTTAGAACAGAGATTTTTTTTTATCATAGATACTCTCGACTGTGGACTATCTTTTCATGATATTAAAAGTATCTTATCATTGGATAATATTTGCTGGATACTATATACCATTTTTGGAAAGGGTGAGTATCTTCAGAGATAATGCAAGTTGTTGAAATCAGCGTCCTAGAATA